TGCACGCGGTGGTCCAGGACATCGCGGCCAGTCCGGAGCTCGCAGCGTCGGCCGGGCCCAGGGGCGCCGACCGAACACGGGAGGAAGAGGAAGCGCTGACATCGAAGTGAACTAGAGGTGCACGGTCCGACTAGAGAGGCCTCCCAAGCCCTGCGCTGGTCTCTGGACATGGCCACGATGATGAGGTCCCTGGCTCCGGCACCCGCTCCAATATCGTGAACTGGCGCATGAGCTCTGCATCGCTCGGGAACGCCACTGCGGCGTTCAAGACTCCGCTCGCGGCGCGGACGCCTCTGCGAGAGCCTCGGACGAGACCGAGCGGGGGCGGCCGTCGGCGACCTCGGGAAGGGAGGCGACAGCGCCGCCAACGGGGCAGGGAAAGCGGGAATACAGGAAGAGAGCGCTTGACCTGGCCTCTGCAGATGGTAGGGGTAGTCTTGCGGGCTTGCTGTGCTCTCACCATGCCGCCAGGTGCGAGGAGATTGGGAAGGTGGGCGAGCTCGCGGGCGCGGGGGAAGAAGGCGATGAGATACGGATCGGCCATTCCAAGTCGCAAAAGAGATTGGAAGAAGACGAGGGGGATCTCCTTGCCACTACTCTGAGACAAGGGTGTCGGCCCCACAAATTGGACCTAGATCGTTGAGGAGGGGCTGGGTGGCCGGTCCGATGCCGTGACTGTCGGGGCTAAACTGCTGCAAATTGGCCATCGCCCACTCAACCTTTGACACGTCGCTCTACGCGGGTTCAACCTTGAGGATTAGCTTCCACGAGATGGACGGATCCCCGCGCTCCTGGTTGACGCGCGCTCTGGAAGCTGAAAGATCTGGTCCACCAATCTCGGCGAAACTGCACGGATTTTGGGCTGTTCTTGCTTTGGCCCGGCGAAGTGTCCGCTGAGACGCGCACTGCTGTCCAAAAAACGACTTCAAACTTATCCTCCTGAGACTCGGGAGCGGTCAAGAGGGGGTGGCGCAAATCATGGCCGGCGGCATGTGCGCGGCCCAGGGGGGGGGGGCAGGGACGCATTGAAATAGGAAGAGGCGCAATGAAATCTGGGGAGATATCATGGCCCCCGCCATGATATCCACCCCCCCTAGTCATCACCCCCCTATTTGCCGCCCCCGAGAGACCTGTCCTGAGTTCTTTGTCCTGTGCGGAGAGCCCCAGGCGCCATATCCCCATGCTGCGGGCCGCGCGGTGGGTGCCGCCCGTGATTCTGATGTGGACGCGCTGGGCGGCCGGGCCGGGCTCGACCTGGATGTCTGCTTCACGGAGCACGGCACGCTGTGGCCACGGGCTGAGGGGAGCGAGAATCGTTTTCTTATCGACGCGGGACTCGGGCGGCACACGATGATTTGAGCGGGGCCGACCGTCCCGGCATTCCTATAGGCCTGCCAGGGTATGTTCGTAGAAACCAAACATGCTGTAAAAACAAAAACAATGTTCTTAGGACATCACGCCGATCCGTTGAAGCAAGACAGCAGCAGCCAGAAATGTTCTACGAACATTTCACGCAAACCACAAAAGGTTCTTGAAACATTCTTTGGTGGGCCTATCGGCAAAGCAGGGCGCCTCGCCACTGCTTGAAAGATGGCAGGGTCTGGAGCATGATCGAAGCTGGCTGGTTGCTGCGGTGCTGGTGTAGGGGGCGATACAGCCTGCACGAAACCCAAAGTCGTTGATAACCCTAGGGTTTCCCAGCTTCCCGACTCACGCTTGACGAACAATACCGTGACAAGAAAACTGCACCGTGGTGGCGGCCGCGAGCTGGGACACTGAGATCTGCACCCAGCGAAGGACCTCCATGATCGTGCCCTTGGTGTCGACCACGTGCTGGCGCAGGTCGACGTCGCCGAGGGGGTCGTGGAAGACGGCACCTTCTCCTTCTGCAAGGTCAGCTGCTGGCTCAGCGCGAACACCACCGTGGTCATGAAGGCGATTGCAACTGCGGCTCCTCTGAGCTGCCGCTGCCTTGGCCTCGCCGCGAGGTTGAGGCCGACGGGAGATTTCCTGCCACGGAAGGGTCGGGGCGGCCTCCAGCGCTGCAACACAACATCGCGTCGTGTGCCGCGTCTGTTGCACTCGACGCTCGCTGTTATCAGGATAACGTGCGCCCGCATCGACGACAACTGTTTGACAGAACCCTTGAGAGCCAATGCAGGCAGTGGTCGGAGTGCCCTCCTGGCAGGCGGCACGGGACTTTATGGTTCCAGCACGACGGCGGAAACCAGCTCGAGCCCCCGCGGCGAGGGTCTCAAACTTGAGCCAAAAGGGCCACGGTGGTACCGCACCCTGCTTCCTCCTCCTCCTCCTCTTCCACGTCCGCCTCCCTCCCTCCCTCCCTCCCCCGACCTGCCCCCATCCCTGCCTCATCCTCCTGCTCCTGCCCCTGACCCAGAGCCCCCGCCGCCATGACGTTCTCGTGACGTCGGCCCCCCGAAGCCTGGACCCCTGCGCGGGCACCGGCATCTCGTCCCGAGCTGCTTTCGCGCGAGGGCAGCACGGCCACCCCCACACGAAGACGCACCCCGACGAGCGGGGCCGTTGTGTGAGCACACCCCAGGGAAGGAGCCGAACGGGGCAGGGCCGGCCAGGGAACGCCCAGGGCCGTGCCTGGTACTCGGGAGCGGGCCACGAGGGGGGTGTCCAAGAGGGGGGGTGCAACTCATGACAGGCGGCGCGTGCGCGGCCCAGCGGGGGGGCCAAGGACGTATTGACATAAGAAGAGGCGCCATGACATCTGGGGAAATATCATGGCCCCCGCCATGATATCCACCCCCCCTAGTCATCACCCCCCTATTTGCCTCCCCCGACGTAAACGCCCGGGGCCGTGCCTGGCGCGGGCCCCTGGAGGCAGAGGATCGCGGAAGACCGCCCGCCGTCCTGTTTGTCCATGGCCCGAAAGGGGCCTGGGACGCTCCCTGCCCTCCTAGTTCCGACCCCCGCTCTGTGGCTCAGGATGTCCCCCAGAGGAGAACCGAGTATTCGAGTAGGGGATCGACTACAGTATTGATTCTCCTTTCTAAAAAACAATAGACTCGACCCCCTCCCCAGCGTTCTCCGCCCCCCTTTCGGGTATGTAAATCATATATGATTATGACCACATGTCCATCCTGAATGTGAAATTACAATGTCAAAATGGAACCGGTATCGCCCCCCTGAAGTTCCCTTGTTTTTTATGCAAAAAAACGATACGCGGGGTCATTCTTTGTTCTCGCATCACGCTTTTTTCATGAATCCCTTGCAACAAATAGTGCGAAGTGCACATGCGCGCGTCGTCGCGCGCGCATGCCGAAATCCTTCCAAAACCGTCGGGTTCGGAAGGAATTTGAAAACGAGCTTCCAAACAACATACAAAAACACAGGGCTTCGCATCACTGACTTGCTAAAAAAAGCTTACGCGCGAGCTCTTGCGAAATCGAGAGAAAACCATAGGTTTTTCCATATTGACACAACATGCTACCAAACGGGCTTCGCGCGCGCATGTCGAAATTTGTCGAACGCCCTTGCGTGTGTGCAGTCGCGAGAATCCCCTGCAAAAAAAAAAAAACGAAGTGCAGACGCGCGCGTCGTCGCGCGCGTATGCCAAAACCCTTCGAAACCCAAAAAGGTTTCGGAAGGATTTCAAAATCGTGTGTCCAAAAAACTTACAAAAACACAAGGTTTCGCAACACGGATTTTCGTCGTCGTCGCCGTCCTCCCTCCTCCCGCGTCGTCGTCGTCGTCGCCTACGTCGTCCTCTGTCTTTCCTGTTGTTCGTCGTCGTCGTCCTCTTTGGCGTTGTGGTCGTTTCCGTCGTCGTTGTCGCCGTGGTCGTCCTTCCTCCTCCTCCCTCGTCGAAGTCGTCGTCCGGGCGTCTCGTCGTCGTCCCTCCTATTTCGTTGTCGTCGTCGTTGTCGTCGTCGTCGTCCCTCCCCCCTCGTCGTTGTCGTCGTCGGCGTCGCCGTCCTTCCTCCTTCTTCGTCGTTCGCGTCGTCGCCGTCCTCCCTCCTCCCGCGTCGTCGTCGTCGTCGCCTACGTCGTCCTCTGTCTTTCCTGTTGTTCGTCGTCGTCGTCCTCTTTGGCGTTGTGGTCGTTTCCGTCGTCGTTGTCGCCGTGGTCGTCCTTCCTCCTCCTCCCTCGTCGAAGTCGTCGTCCGGGCGTCTCGTCGTCGTCCCTCCTATTTCGTTGTCGTCGTCGTTGTCGTCGTCGTCGTCCCTCCCCCCTCGTCGTTGTCGTCGTCGGCGTCGCCGTCCTTCCTCCTTCTTCGTCGTTCGCGTCGTCGCCGTCTTCCCTCCTCCCTCGTCGTTGTCGTCGTTGTCGCCGTCGTCGTCCTCCCTCTTCCCTCGTCGTCGTCGTCTTTGTTGGCGACGTCGTCGTCGTCGTCGGCGTCGGCGTCGTCGTCGTCATCGTCGTCGGCGTCGGCGTCGTCGTCGCCACCGCCGTCGTCGTCGTCGTCTACGTCGTCGGCGTCGTCGTTGTCGTCGTCGGCGTCGTCATCGTCGTCGTCGGTGTCGTCGTCGTCGTCGGTGTCGTCGGTGTTGTCGTCGTCGTCGTTGTCGTCGTCGTCAAAGTCGTCGGAGACGTCGTCGGTGTCGTCGTAGTCGTTGTCGCCGGTGTCGTCGTAGTCGGTCTTAGGAGGTTTTGCAAAACAAATTGCGGGTGGGTGGATGGGATGTTTGCAAAAGCACGGGATGTGTCAGATCATGGGTAAAAATCAGTTCCCCCATAAATTATTGCCTCATCGAATGTGTGAAACATCGTGGAATGCTCGTAGCTCATTCCACGTATTGTTCGCAGGTCAGACGAGAAAACCAACAAAGGGGTATATCAATGATGCTGTCGATCCCGTACTTGAAATATTTGGGGTCGGAAGATCGCGCCGCATCGACTATGCAGTGGCAATGCATTGGCGATACATCGGCGACGTCGGCGACGCATCGGCGATGCGGCGCGATACTCCGACCCCATCTGCTCCGACCCCAGCTCCTGCCGTCTCTCGGACCTCCATCCCCCGTGCACTTGTTTAGTCGAACTACTCGCTCTGCTACGGTCCACCAATCAGAGCCGCGAGACGCAAAGCAATGCCGCGAACAAGAGAGTACAACCGCACGCCCCACTCGCCCGCGCACTCCCGGGACTCCCATCATCATCCGCCGTAGTCGATGCTGAACTGGTGGTCGAAGTTGACGTCGACGTCGTGGACTGAATCGTCACTGTAGAAGAGGTAGTACTTGTAGAAGCCAGGCTGCTGGTAGTGCTTGAAGTTGATGATGGTGCTGGTGGTGGCGCTGGTGGTGCTGGTGGTGGCGCTGGTGGTGCTGGTGCTGGTGGTGAAAAAGTAGTGCTGCTGGCTGTGGTGCTGGTGGTCGTCGTCGTACTACTCGTAGTGGTCGTGGTCGGTGAGACTGTACTCCCTTCACACTTGCATGAGACCTGGTGCTTCTCGACGCCCTCCGCCACCTCGGCATAAGTACGCTTGTACCAACACATCCCGACCGCATCGCACTCGCCTTCACAAGAGCTACTTGGCGCCCAGACTCCATCACATGATGGCGACTCTGGTGAGGAATCGTCCGAGGCGTCAGTACCGTCGGTAATTGGTGCGGCCGTACTCTCGTCACATTTGCATGGAACATGGTACGCCTTGACGCCTTTCGCCACCTCGGCATAAGTGCGCTTGTACCAACACATTCCGACCGCATCGCACTCGCCTTCACAAGAGCTACTTGGCGCCCAGACACCATCGCATGATGGCGACTCTGGTGACGAATCGTCTGAGATTGGTGAGGTATCTGCACCGTCTGTAATTGGCGAGGCCGTACTCTCGTCACACTTGCATGAGACCTGGTACGCCTTAACGCCCTTCGCCACCTCGGCATAAGTACGCTTGTACCAACACATTCCGACCGCATCGCACTCGCCTTCACAAGAGCTACTTGGCGCCCAGACACCATCGCATGATGGCGACTCTGGTGACGAATCGTCTGAGATTGGTGAGGTATCTGCACCGTCTGTAATTGGCGAGGCCGTACTCTCGTCACACTTGCATGAGACCTGGTACGCCTTAACGCCCTTCGCCACCTCGGCATAAGTACGCTTGTACCAACACATTCCGCTCGCATCGCACTCGCCTTCACAAGAGCTACTTGGCGCCCAGACGCCATCACATGATGGCGACTCTGGTGAGGAATCGTCCGAGGCGTCAGTACCGTCGGTAATTGGTGCGGCCGTACTCTCGTCACATTTGCATGAGACCTGGTACGCCTTAACGCCCTTGGCCACCTCGGCATAAGTGCGCTTGTACCAACACATCCCGACCGCATCGCACTCGCCTTCACAAGAGCTACTTGGCGCCCAAACGCCATCACATGAAGGCGACTCTGGTGACGAATCGTCTGAGGTGCCTGCACCGTCGGTAATTGGTGCGGCCCTACTCTCGTCACACTTGCATGGAACCTGGTACGCCTTGACGCCCTTCGCCACCTCGGCATAAGTACGCTTGTGCCAACACATTCCGCTCGCATCGCACTCGCCTTCACAAGAGCCGCTCGGCACCCAGTCTCCATCACATGGCAGAGCGTCCGATGATGCTGATGGCACGGCGCACTTAGTGCACGGCAATTCCTTTACCTTCGTGCCTTTAGCCACTTCTGCATATGTTCTCGCCACCTCACACACTCCATCCTGATCGCAGATCCCGGAACAATCCTCGTGGGGCACCCATGCACCGGCTTCGCATGGGGCGAGGATGTTTACCGAGTCGATTTGACGTCTTGCCCCTGCGGGAAAGAGCATGAGCGCGATGCTGATGATGGACATACCCATAGCTGCAAACAGAGAGGCGCTGGCTGAGACTCGGGCTTGATATTTTGCAGAAAACACTGTCGAGCGCTGACGTCGCCTGAATCGCTTGAACCAAAATGGCTACGGACCTCCATCCCCCGTGCATGTTTGGGTTTCGCGTACTTTCTGCCAGGTGATCCAGGATGCTCTTCGATGGCCCTCGCCGAGAAAAATATGCCCGCGTCCTAGCAATACCAAAAGCCGGGAGGCCCAGAGTGCCAACTTCGGCGTGAGGCGAGCAGCCCATCCGAGCTCCCCGCGCTCTGCTGTGCTGCGCCATCGCTACTGCCTGGCCCCACCCCCCATCCTGGTCGCCAAGTGGTGGGGGGCCGATGAATGAGGGGGCGATCAATGGGCGGGGGGGCTGGAAACTCATGGGGTGCTATTGGGGGGCGATCAATGAAGGGGGGAAGGGGAAGAGAGGTGCCCTTTTGCGGCCCCCCCCCCCACTGGAAATGGGGGACAAACTGAGGCCTTCGGGTCAGGTTGGGGTGGTCTGGTGAGTGGTGAAGAGGAGTGCTGGCTCGGCTGCACGCAGGAGTCAGAAGAGCATCCCGCAAGAGCACGAGACCCTCCGTCGTCCAGCGCAAACAGAACATCTAAGGGTACCCTCCCCAGGATTTACAAGAAAGAACATCCAACAAACAAGAAGAGCACTTCTACCTTGGTCCGACCGCAAGGGTGCCCTTTGGTGTGCAGTCTTTTGGGTGCCGCGGGGGGGGGGGGGGGGGGGGGGGGGGGGCGCAAAACACAAGCGCGCAAGACGCTACTATCGCATCGCGTTCGGCGATCGGGGGGCCCCAGTGCGCCCGCACCCAGGGTCACTCTGGCGAGGGGTCACTCTTACGTGCAGTTGACCAGCGCAGGCTGCAGGGCATGGAGGGCCACATGTCAGCAGCCACTGCCGCAACTTCCAGGCCAGAGTGGCCCGCGTCGAGGGAGACACGCGGGGGAGGGGAGGCAGGGCCCCAGCGCCGAGCCGGGCCTTGTCGCAGGCCTTGTGGTTCATCACGCCCCTCCAGTAGAAGTTCCACTCGAAGCCGGCCGAGACGGCAATGGCCACGGGCCCACTCTCCACGAGCGCACGCACCAGAGAGTCCTCGAAGGGCGCCGTGGAATATGTCGCGCGGTCGGCGCAGCAGCAGCAGCAGCAGCAGCGGGGGGACGCAGCGAGAAGCCGAATGCTCAACACTGACCGTGCTCGTACTGATCCCCTGTGTCTCCCCCTACAGCACGCCCTCCTCCTACAAGAGGGATGGCATGGGGGACGCGGCCTGAGAAAATGACTCCGGCGCGACCCCAATTAGGGGAAAACGTCTTATTGCATGAGCGCAGTGCTTGGCATTGCTCGGCATTGCTTGGCATTGCTTGGCACCGCACCCGAGGAACCCGAGGAACCCAATGAACCCGAGGAACTCGAGCCACCCGAGGAACCTCCGGGGAACGGGCAAAGCCCCCGCGGCACCAATCTGTGACCAAGTAAGAATCCCTTCTTCAAGCCTAAGGATGAAGTACAAAGGGGACGGCATGGGGAAGGCGGTCTGAGAAATACGCATATATATGTATATATATATATATATATATATATATATATAAGCTTGTGCGGAACCTCAAGGGGCAGTCCGAAGTGGAGGCGCAGCGGCAGCAGGCAGCGGCAGCCAGCATGGCACTCGCCACGGGGAGGCACACACGGCGAGAGGCCGGGACAGGACGGGGCGCACGGACGGCCAAAAGATCTTCTTTTTTTTTTCAGCTCACCAGGTTTGCTTGGCTCGTGTGGGCTTCTGTCGGGGGTGTTGGCGAGGGCTCCCCCCCGAGCGTGCGCCGCGTCTCCGGAGGTCCCAAGGAGGCCTGCGCCGAGGGAGGGACGGGGGCCCTGGCCGCGGGAGGCTCCCCCCGGACGGCCAAAAGATCCTGACTGGCGTACGCGTGTCTCCAGAACCAAACTGTGAACCAGCGTCGACCCCAAGCAGTAATTTCTCGACCCTGTGCGGTGAAGTCCGAGTGGTGCGGTCGGTGCAGTGCAATCTGGGAGGTGCATCCATGTGGTGCTATGCATGCGTTGCAGCGCACAGCAAACCCATGCAACGCAACTCAAAGCAATTCAAAGCAATGCAACACAATGCAACGCAATGCAACGCAATGCAACGCAATGCAACGCAATGCAACGCAATGCAACACAAAACAATGCAATGCAATGCAATGCAATGCAATGCAATGCAATGCAATGCAATGCAATGCAATGCAATGCAATGCAATGCAAAATAATGCATCATAATGCAATGCAATGCAATGCCATGCAATACAATGCCTGGGAACGCAGTTCAAGCCAATGTATAGTAAGACACCGCTATGCGGAACAATGCAACCAAATGCAACGTAAAAACAATGCAATCAAATGCAAGGCAATGCAAACCAGTGCAAAGAAGTGCAAATCAACGCAAAGCAATGCGACACAACGCGACGCAAAATGATGCAATGCGGCACGATGCAATGCAATACAATGCAATGCAATTCAATGCAAAGCAAAGCAATGCATACCAACTGAAGGCAGTTCGAGCCAACGCATAGCAACACAATGCTATACAAAGCAAGACAGCACAATGCAAAACAACGCAACCAAATGCAACGCAATGCAATATAATGCAAAGCCGTGCAAAGCACCGCGACCCGATGCGACGCATCGCGACCCGATGCGACGCATCGCAAGCAATGCTAAACAATGCAACGCAATTCGCCGGCCCAACGGGCCAGAGGCGTGCGAAGATCTCCAACAACTGATAATCAATAATTCTAGATCGCGCGCGCGAGGCGGCCCCTGGGGGTCCCAGGACGAAAAGCACCCTGGGAGAAGCCCGACCAAGTCAGACCAAGGATGGCTTTCCTCCTGGGTGCGGCCTCTCAGGCACCCCAGAGCGCTCCAAGAGGACCCTAAGAGGCCCCAAATACTGTCCACTTAGGGCTCCGAGTCGCTGACCCATCCGCCCAAGACGTCAAAGATGGTCTCCAGACGGCCGAAGACGCCTCCAAGACGCCCCGAGAGGCCTCCAAGAGGGGCCCCAAGATGGACCCTATAGGCAAATGTGTTGGATGTCCCTTGAGTTTTTTGAAAGGATGTTGGCGTTCTCGACTTTTCGGTTTCCCGGCGCTCCAAAGCCCAAGGTCGCCCTACGACGGCCCAAAAGGCCTTGAACAGGGCCCCACAACGGCCGTAAGACTGCCCAAGGGGCTTCCAAGACGGCCCAAGAGGCCCCAAAGACGGCTCCAACAGGAGGCCCAGCCGGGAGACCCGAACGGATATTTCCACCCCTCGGCCCCCACCCCGAGGCCCCGAATGGCTCCCAAGAGGCCCAAAGAGGCCCCCGAAGAGGCCCCCAAGAGGCCCCGAAGAGGCCCCAAGAGGCCCCCAAGAGGCTACTAAGAGGCCCTCAAGAGGTTTCCAAAGGCCCCTGTGAGGCCCAAGGCTCCAGAATACACCGTCACGAGGCCCTCGAGAGGCCTCCCGAGGACCCCAAGACGCCTCCTGCTACACTCCCCGAGTATGTTCAACTCGTATGCGGACGGACCCAGGATCCAGCAAGATTCGTCGTAGAGAGGCCAAATGAAGTCCAACATCCTCGCACAAACACCAACGCTCCCCCCAGAAATTCCGACATAGATGCAAGCGGACCCAACAACAAATATTCGAATGGCCCAGCAGCGGAACTCCATGGGTGACAAGCCCAACTCCATGGGTGACAAGCCCAATTCGCGATGATGCCACATACCCATAACGGCCCCAAAACAAGCTCCCCAGAAAAATCTACACAGGAACTGCTTCACTTCCAAGACTACGAACGTAACCCCATTGGAAAACGAACAACGCCCAGCAGCGCAACATGGTCGACGAACGCGAGGGCAAAAGACAACAATGCTACATTATGGGCCGTGGGGCGACGGAATGAGCGAAGCCATTCAATAAAAAGCAATGCAACGCAATGCTAAACAATGTAACACAAAGCAAAACAGTGCAAAGCAGTGCAACGCAATGCAGAGCAATGCAGCGCAACGCAAAGAAGTGCCAAGCAAGGGAACTCGGTGCAAAGCAGTGTGCAAACCAAATGCAGGAAGCAGTGCACACCAGTGCAACCCAATGCACCTCGATGCCAAGAGCGATGCAAAACAACGCAAAACGCAAGCGGCGGCGACGGACGGCGGCACCGGGTGGCGACGGACGGCAGCTCCGGGTGGCGGCGGGCGGCTATGAGCCGGCCAGGGCGGCCCTGGAGGAGGAGGAGGAGGAGGAGGAGGAGGAGGAGGAGGAGGAGGAGGAGGAGGAGGGAGGAGGGAGGAGGAGAGGGAGGGAGGGAGGAGGAGGAGGAGGAGGAGGAGGAGGAGGGGGAGGAGGAGGAGGGGGAGGAGGAGGATTTTGCCTGCACGGCACCAAGCTGCCCTCTTGCACCCAAGGCGGCGGGCGATTCCGCCAAGGGGCCTGTTCAAAAAAAAAAGATGAATCAAACCCAGACTCGGAGGAGGAGGAGGAGGAGGGTGGGGCCCGGCGACGGCGGCGACGGACGGCGGCGACGGCGAGCGACGAGCGGCCACACTGGCCGGTCTCGGGGCCGCAGACGGGGCCCGATCCTCCGGCGGGCGGCGGCGGCGGCGGGCCGCCACAGGCCAGCTGGGGCCGCACCTGGGGCCCAGTGGCCTTTAGGAGCGAAGCGAAGCGAGTGCAAGCGCTGCTTGGGTAGCTGTGTCACACACGAGCCTAAGAGAAGTATAGTTTCGAGTGGACCGTCTGCTCGGGTATGGCGCGAATCTCGGGGCCCAGTGGCCTTACCGGCGGTGGACAAACCTCCCTGTAGTAGACCTCCCCTTCGTGAAGACGGCCTCGGACCGAAACCGACGGACCTGGGCCCGCAGAAAGGACGGCCGCGACGCCCTCTCGCGAATCGAAAACGGCCAATTCCTTAATCGACGTGTCAGGGTAGGAGGTCTATCCACCTCCGACCTTAAAAGCGAAGTGAAGTAAGTGCAAGCGCAGCTTGGGAAACTGCGTCACATACGAACCCAAGATAAATATAGTCACTGTTTCGAATGGACCGTCTGCTTGGGCGTGGCACGAATCTCGGGAGTCGTTCGTAAAACAAAGATGGATCCGTCTTATGGTGCCAGAGGGTCGTTTGCATAATAAGGTGGGTTGTTCTTTCGGTAGCTGTTCTCAGGACAGCGTGAGACGTCCTTGTGTGGTGTCATGTGCTTATTATTATTATTATTCTTCTTCTTCAAAGCGTTGGGAACACTTCAGACGACTCCATGACGGCCCCACAGCGTCCGATGAAAGCCGGAACACGGACCCAGCACGCCCCAAAAGGATCCCGAGACGATCCGAGACGGCCCACCTTGGATCGCCGCGGCGGTTGGTAAGGGGATGGGTGGGTTAGAAGAGGATGCGAGAGTGGTTCTATGTGGCCAAACCCACCTTATAAGTGAGTTTCAAGTGCCCTATGTGGCTCAGGATGATGAGGAAACTTCGCCAAGTGGGCTCCGCCCACTCAGCCCAGATCTGTACGCCCTTGAGCCACTTAGGGCACGTGCGACCCACCTCTAAGCTGGGTTAGGCTGGATAGAATCCACCTCAGCATTCACTTGTATCCCCCATATCCTCTTCAAGGGAACGAACAAAGACATAATTATAAAAACTCAGAGGTCCGCGCGGATTTCCTGGATCCGCGCTGGACCCCCTCCCTGGCGCGCGCAGCGCGCCATGGGGCGGCGCCGGAGGCGCCGCCAGAGGGGCCCCAGCGCCGATCCCAGAAATCCGCGAGGGCCACCGAGATTTTTCTGTTTCTGTCATTCCTCGTTCCCCTGTTGTATCCCCCCTATCCTCGCAGCAGCCCTCGCGGCGATCCGAGGGGAGAGCCTGCGGAAGGGCCCAGGGGAGCGCCCGGGCAGCCCGAGAGAGCCGCCCTCTCCCGCGAGCCACGAGACGCGCGCAGTCCGCCCAAAAGGGCCCCAGGGGCCCCACCCACAGTCCCTGCTGCTCCTCCTCCTCCTCCTCCACCTGCCCCCCGAGCGGCCTCCATGGGGGGTCACGATGGGGGTGCCACGATGGGGGGGGTTGGGGATAGTCATAGGGATGACGACGGGGATGTATATAGGGATACACGTCGGTCGGAAGAAGTAGGTAGAAACATGAAGTGGGAAGGCGGATATAGTGGATTGGGTCCAGGCCCCCACAGAGAATAACAACACACGGCAAACACATGCCGACTCTTGAAGTAGGAAGGCGCTTGAAGCATATTGGGATCGGGGAATCCAAAATACCTACTTTCAACGACCGGCGTGTAGGGATCTAGTGATGCGGATGGGGATGAAGATGAGGACATAGGACAGGGACGCAACGGCGGGCAGAAGGAAGAGGGACAGGCACGACAACTGGAGGCCACGGGAGGCCACGGGAGGCCACGGGAGGCCGCGGGAGGCCGCGGAGGGCCACGGCGGGCAGCGAGGGGCCACGACGAGCAAAGGGGAGGAGGCCGCGGGGAGCAGGGGGAGGCGACGTCGCCCGCCCGGCTGCGGATCCCAACGTGCCTAGTCGCTTCAGATCAGAGAGCATAAACATAACCCCTGGACACAGCCTGCGCAGGAACTCACGTCCTGACCTATTCCAAAACTGTCGGGCCCAGAGGAGGGGCCCGAAGCCACCGAAACTCCAATGGCATCCTCAAACGTGTGCGCAACAGCACTCACCTTCCGTGCGCTTCTGCAGGTTGTAGATCAGCACGTTGGAACCCAGTGAGGTTTGGGCCCTGACGTCGCGATCCGTGTGAGAGGGGGCGCCCGATCTTCAGAATGTCGAACACGTCCCGAGCGAAACGGTCAGAAGCAGCGGAGACGGCCTCAATCGATCGCCTCTGAGCGCTGCCCAGTTGGAGACAGGCGCGTATGATAAGACTCACCCAGCAGCGCTTGCACTCAGGAGCTCGCGCTCGGCTTTCTCAAACAATTGCTTGTGTCGGGTGTTCACCACGTTGCCGCCCCCTGCCGCCTCGTAAGCGCCTCGTGGGCGCCCCGCGCTCGAGGGGGGTATGTGTCGTGCCTTCACGATGTTGCCGCCCGTGCCGCCTCGTGGGCGCCTGGTGGGCGCCTCGAGCACGTTGGGTATGTGTGGTCCTCGCCACGGTGCCGCGCGTGCCGCCTCGTGGGCGCCTCGTGGACGCCCCGCGCTTCGGGGGCCATGTGCCGGGCCTTCGCCACACTGCCGCCCGTGCCGCCTCGTGGGCGCCTCGTGGGCGCCTCGCGCTCGGAGGGTCTATGTCGGCCTTTCGCCGCGTTGCCGCGCGTGCCGCCTCGTGGGCGCCTGGTACTCCGAGCTCGCACAGCGCAGCCTACACCGCATGGCTTGCGCTCCTTCAGCCCCCGCCTCCGCTTCACACCACACGGCTGGCGCTACCGATTGCACGCCGTAGCTTACGTCACACAGGTTTCATACCCATAGCTCACACGGCATAGCTCACACGACATGGCTTTCGCCACGTAGCTAACACTGATAGCTCCCACCTCCACGGAGCAATAACGCACTGTTTAGGAGTCCATACTGGCTAACACTTGAACGTGTATACAGCTACAGCTCGAAGGAAACGTATACCGCACGTATTTAAGACACGGGATATGATGGACCGGTTGCAACGAGTCGGAGGGCCGAGGTGACCCTAACCGTCAGATTGGGAAGAAGTACAACTATGTTTGGGACTCTTCAGATTTGCAACTGTGGATGCCATTTCAATGGACACCCTAACAGTTTTAGCATTGACTTAAATATGTGTAAACTGTGTGGGGAATGTTCTAAAAATGTGTACGGCATGATTTATACATGTTTGAGACATGTATAACATATCTTCAGACATCCCGAAATGATTTGTCAACCTGCTTCATCTCCATTGATCGTCGTCCACGAATTAGAAGAAGGTCTGACCCGAAGCTCCACCGTAGCAGCACTTACCATATCCAAGGCAAAACTTCTTCCAAAGGGACCCTTGGCCGTGCAAGCGCCCTCGCCTAACCCCTGTGCGGGCGCCCTCTGGCGCGCTGGAGCCGACGTGCGCGATGTGGGGCGCGCGACGGGAGTCGGCTACACGCAAGAGTGACCCTGGGCAAGAGTGACCTTTGGGTGCGCGGCTTTTTGGGGGCCGCGGGGGGAACCACACCCAGGCACGCAAGACGCTACTGCCGCATCGCGTTCGGCGATCGGGGGACCCAGTGGCCCCGCACCAAGGGGCACTCCGGCGAAGGGCCACTCTTACGTCTAGTCCAGGGACGAGGCGCCTGCCAATCGTCCCGGGCCATTTGACCAGTCCAAAGCACAACATTACGCGAAGGAGCTCCGAGACCTCCCTCGCCACAACCCAGACCCGTCGACGACGGGGCGACGGCAAAGTGCGCTGGAACGTCTGGCGCAAGCAGGGCAAAATGCCAGGAGATGTGGCTGCATCGGGCGAAACTCCTCCTTGTTCTCGGGCAGCTTGGTCCATCCGGTCATTCCGATGTTGTTCCAATTCTTGTGCCTGGAATCAGAAGAGCTCCACGAGTGAACCTGCGTCAGGGATGGCAGTAAAACAGTGATGCAACACAGAGGGCGCGAGAACCGAGTGCGGAATGCGCGACCCGCCCACGTCGACGAGTGCACGAGCGACACGGCGTGCAAACATAACATGTTTGGAACTTTTGCCAAGCTTGTCGCAACGGCGGCCCCGGCGACACGCTGTGCCCTGCGAGCGGATGGCGTGTCGCTTCGCCACACGGGGCGGGAGGCCAGGAAAGGCCTTGAACGTTGACGCTTTAGGATGGGAGAGTGGTTCGCGCGTCGCGCCGAAGCAAGATGGGCCAGAACCGGCGAAACAACACGCTGACGAAAAGCTCCCGACCGTAAACTCGTGAAGGTCCGCGCGGGCCTCAAGACCTGCTATGCTGTGATCCCTCCTCCCGGCGTCGACTCTGGCTCAAATGAGTCACCAAAAAGGTGACTGAATATGGTCAACCCGTATCATGAGGATGCGCGGCAAGGATGCAAGGGCCTTGGTGGGCCACGTTGACGCTTCATGGGACTAGGCTGGCCAGTGAAAGTCGCTGAGGATGAGCCGACAGGCAAGGATGCAGAGGGTATCCTTTGGAAGGTTGCCGATCCTGATTGTGCGGAATGACTGAACGGAAGCGTGGGGGGTACCGCGTGGGGAGGGGAGCGGAAATCTGAGCAGGGACCGACCGTCCCGGCATTCCCATGGGCCTACCACGAAATGATCTCAGAACTCAAACATGTTCCAAGACCAGAAACAATGTTCTTAGAACGTGAAATCGCTGTGATAAAACAAGACAATCCCAGAGAGAAATGTTCCAAGAACATTTCGTGGAACCACACAGGGTTCGGAGAACATTGCTTGGTAGGCCTATAGGCACGCCGGGGCGCTTCGCCACTGCTTGATGCAAGAGTACCCTTCGGAAGGTTGCCGATCCGCATTGTGCGGGCTGGCCGAACGGAAGCGTGGGGGGGGGGGGACCGTGTGGGGAGGGGAGCGGAACTGGCTCACGAGCTCGGCGGCCGCCGGGCCGTTGGGGGAACGGGTGGGGGACGCTGGGGGGGGGCCTCGCGTGCGGAGTGCCGTGCTCCGCGTGCGCGGGGGATCCATAGCAGGAGGGGGGTGGCCTTCTCGAGAGCCGTTGCGGACGTCGTCTGGACGCCCGGCTCGACCGAGGCGTGCAGCGGGCCATATCAAAGGGGCCCGGGGACACACAGGCAAGTGGCACGCGTGCCCTGGCTCTTGCACCAAGGAGCTGCGAGGGACAGGAGGCTTGCGCCTCCTTCCTCCAAGAGTTTCCTTCTGTGGCCGGGGGGGGGAGGGGGGAGGACGAACGACGAACGAATGAACGACGACGACGAAGACAAGAGGCACGCGTGCCCTGGCTCTTGCACCAAGGAGCTGCGAGGGACAGGAGGCTTGCGCCTCCTTCCTCCAGGAGTTTCGTTCTGTGGCCGGGGGGGAAGTGGGAGGACGAACGACGAACAAACGAACGACGACGACGACGACGACGAACATAATCACAGAGGTCATAGCTCTAGAACGCAGCCGTGCAAGAGAATGAAGAGATCCCACCGCTAGCTCGCAGCTGTGCAAGAGAATACATGCACACACACGCACATACATCCCAGGATTCCCCATTTTTTCCCATATCTATACGACCACCCTTCGGGTGATAAGGAGGTTGTGGGGGGGGGAGAGGGGGGGGAACCAACATCTGACTCAATCGATCTCACTGTCGATCTCACTCAACGGGACACCACGGGACACCACGGGACACTTGTCGATCTCACTATCGATCTCACTATCAATGTCACTCAACGGGACACCACAGGACACCACGGGCCACCACGGGACACCACGGGCCACCACGGGACACCACGGGACACCGCGGGACACCTCTCGATCTCACTATCGATCTCACTATCGACAACACTATCGATCTCACTCAACGGGACACCATAGGACACCACGGGACACCACGGGACACCTCGGAACACCACATCGATCTCACGATCGATCTCACTATCGATATCACTATCGATCTCACTCAACGGGACACCACGGGACACCACAGGACACCTGTCAATCTCACTATCGATCTCACTTTTTGGGACACCACGGGACACCACGGGACATATCGGGGCACCACATCGATCTCATCATCGATCTCAATATCGATCTCATTATCGATCTCACTCAACGGGACACCACGGGACACCATGGGACACCGCGGAACACTGCGAGTCACAGCCGGACGGACTGACGGAACGGGCGGGCGGGGGAGAATCATTTGTCTTGACTTCGCCCTAGCAACCGCGGACACCACGGGACACCACGGGACACCGCGGGACACCGCGAGCCACCGCCGAACGGGCGGGAGGGGGAGAATCAGTTGTCTTGCGGACACCGAGGGACACCACGGAACACCATGGGACACCGCGGGACACCGCGGGCCACCGCCGGACGGGCGGGAGGGAGAGAATCATTTGTCTTGACTTCGCCCTAGCAGCGGCGGGTTCATTCCTCTCGCGCGCCCACGCAGCTTCGCCTCGCCCGCACGCACGACACGAACGAAACGAAACGATCTCTCGGTTGGGGGTCTCCGTTCCACTGCGATCTCACCCCCCAATCTCCGACTTTCTGGGCTTCCGTCCTCCCCACCACTTTACCCATGTTTCCCCACAGTTTCCCACGAGTCGATGACTACTTGTGTCTGTGTGTGTTTTTCCCATCCTGATAATTTGAGCATCGTTTATCCGATCCCCATCCCCAGCGGCGTGGCCTGGGCCCCACTGGCCGATTTACCCCCCTAGATGGGGATATAGGCCGTTCCCTTCGGGTATCGAAGGGTATATCCCCAACTGGGGTGCTGAGATGTTGGGGGTCTGGATGTCGATGGGGATGGGGATGGGGATCGGTTAAACGATACTGTGTATACGCGAGCGACCCTCGACACGCCAAGGGTGGCCCCGCACGGCCCGGCAGGGCCGCCCCCAAAAGCCTCCGGCACCGCACGCCTCTGCTCGTGCTTCCCCTCGTCCTCCTCCTCCCGCTCCCTCCACTTCCTTATTATGTCCCCAGCGTTTCCTCCCCTCCTCGCGTGGTATACTTCTCGTGCAGCGCCTCGTCACGCCTCAGCCTCCTCCTCCTGCTGCTATGCTTCACCACCTCGTCCTCGTCGGCCGGCCCTCCACCTCCGCTCAGACCTGCTTCTCCTGCTGGTGCTGCTGCTGGTCCTCCTCCTTCGCCTCATGCTGGACCCCTGCCGTCTGTCCAGGTCACGGGGCAGGGGTCCCTTCTGTCCAGGTCACGGGGCATCCAGCCGTGGCGACGAGAAGCCTTCCAAATACCTCGAACGGACGAAGAACACGCACATGCACCAAAACATCTCATGAACTTCCCTCCGCGGCCCCTTCCGCCTGCAGCCTGACCAGGAGCAGACAACAGGTGGCATAAGCATAACCTTCTGGCGATCCAGACTCCGCGCCGATTCCTTTGATCTGTGCTGGCGCCCCCTCCCTGGCGCGCGGAGCGTCCCAGGGGCGGCGCCAAAGGTGCCGCCGGGGCTGGGGGGGGGCAGCGCGGATCCGAGGAACCCGCGCGGAGCGCCAACAAGTTGTGCTTGTGGCGTGCTTTCTTCTTCGGCTAAAGACAAACGGTATTGGAAGCTTGGAAATGAGCACCAACACCGAAAAAAAGGGCTTGCCCTCCCCGAAGCAAGATGATCAAAGACGTTGGCGCTGGTGGTAACATTTCGGTCACCCAGGAAGCCAAGAGATTACCACCGGTACCGAGATCGGGATCATCTTCCCTCGGTGGAAACACCCCGCCGATACTGCCCGCCCGCCCCTTTCCCGCCTGCCCGCCCGCCCCGCTGGCCCTGGCCTCCCGCCTGCGCGTTCGTCGTCGACTGCCTGCTTCTCGCCTCCTCGTCCTCTTCCGCCGGGCAGCACAGCCTGCCCGGGACCAGCGTGGCGGCGTGTTGGACTTCAGCGAGCACCAATACTATCAACCGACGCCCTTCGGTTGCGCGGATACGAATGACCTGCCGTCGATACTGGTGCCGGTGCCAATTCCTAGAGGCGCGCGCGTTCCACTACTCGCAAGAAGCATCTGCTCGCAAATGGCCTGGATCCGCCGCGGGGGATCTACGATACATTACATCGGAACAGAAATTTTGTTGTTTTAGGACGTTTGCGAGTAGGCTTAGATCGGGCCTGTCCCCCTACAGGGGGAGCTTGGACGAAAAGTTTAAAAGATATAAAAAATGTGCCGAAAATGCCAAAAATGCTAAACAACATCGTCCCCAGACTATTGTTTGACTATTTCTGAGTACTCCCCCTGTAGAAGGACAGGCCCGACTTGAGAGTGGGCACTGTGCGAGTCATGGAGCGCGCTCCGTGACTCCCAAACCTCCGGCGGTGCGGGCTGCCTCGCTGCCGTCCTCCGTCAGCCGGAACGGCGTGACGGTCTCCTTCTCGGGGGTCGCCATGCTCGGGGGGCACACATCCTGGCCGCGCGGCCGCCCCCCCAAGCAAATGAGGTCGGGCACGTCCTCCTACGGGCGGAATGTCGAGCGAAAGCTTGAGAGAAACACGCCAAACAGAAACCTCGAGC